TGGGTGGGTGTGTCAGTCTCTGACACTGGCCATAAGTCTTCTGCGAGCTACTGGATGGGGTTGAACGGGCAGGGTAGGGCGCTTTTGATGCCGTCAATGTCGCCCAACGCGTTTTTTCTCCATGCGATTATTTTATTTAATTTTGCTCTATTCTATTATTATCCCAGGCCTTTTACCAAACAATTAACGGGGCAGCTGTGGCTGTGGCAGGGCTTACAAGGATTTTGAGTTTTATTTATAAAAAAGTCAATGATTCGCATTGAACAATACATTTTTTTTAGGGACATGAAAGGTGGGAAGAACTGAATCAACCTTGAGTTCATTTGCACAGGAAGCAGCCAAGCGGTGTTTTATCGAAGGATAAAACAATCAAAATAGGCGGAATCGAGGGACTCCTTTGAAGTGTGGTAAACCAGAAATCAATAGACCAGATATACATATAATACATATGTTCGATTTCCTGTTGCTTAAAGTGTTTAGGAAGTCCTTTGAACTTGAACGCGTAAAACAAACTGCGACGGGCTAATGTTTACGTATGCAAATACTTGGAATGTGTTTAAATATACATGATCTAAAGCCTCAATTTGTTTGAAATGTTTATTTTCTTGTAAATTATTTAAAAATCGATCTAATAGTTTGAATTGTATTTCTAATTGCTTCAAGGCTTGTGTTTTTTCCATACGACTCAGCCAATCGCTTTCGTGAAACCTAAATTTCGAATAGAAGAATAGAACTGAGGCCGCTTATTATAATATTCGTGGGGCTATATTTTCTATGCAATCCGTTCAGTATTTGCTTTAAATATAGTCAGAGTGCTATTTATTCGACTCAACCAAACAAAACTTCGATTCATTTATTAGGCGAGGTTTCAAATGAAAAATGTATTTTGCTTTAAATATAATCAGAATGCTACCTTTTTGTATATTAAGGGTATCTTATTTTATTTAGCACTACACTTTATATAACACTTTTTATACCCTGTACCCGTAGGGTAAAAAGGGTATATTAGGTTTGTGCAAAGTATGTAACATGCAGAAGGAAGCATCTCCGACCCCATAAAGTATATATATTCTGAATCAGCATGACGAGAGAAATCGATCTAGACATGTCCGTCCGTCTGTCCGTCCGTCTGTCCGTCTGGATGAACGCGAGGATCTCAGAAACTGTAAAAGCTAGAATAACCAAAGTTGGCATCCAGATTCTCCTAGGTCCGAGTAAGGACGAGTTTATTTTTTTTTTTTTAATTTTCCCCCCCTTCCCCCGCTACAGAATTTCGTCAATAGCGTCCACATTTCAAATGCTACCTCAACCAAACTTTGCACACATAATTTATATATAATTGTCTACTGTTGTTTAAAATTCGGTCAATTTTGTGAAAAGTTATTAGCGAAACAAATTCTCTACAGTACAACCCCCACAAACTGCAGCAACGAGTTCGCTCTTCTTCTTCCTCTTTTTGTTGCTGCTATGGGCGCATATAACTCAGTGACGAAAGTTTACCTGGGTACAGGGTATTACACTGTCGGGCTTGCTCGACTGTAGCGTTCTCTCTTGTTATTATTATTATTAAAATTCGCAAAAAAGAAGCCGCAAATATTGCAACTTTGCATTGCAATTAAGACCACAGATTTCTAAACAATTAACTTGTTTATACTTGTAGAACGAATTATGAGCAGGCTTTAAATTGTTGAATGCTTTAATTTTATGAAAATGTAACACCAAGCTAAACAGATTTCAATCATTGGACTGCTATTCCCAAAACATGGCACACTTGTTATGTAATTCTCAGATTCGCAGCCTGCGGGAGCTGCTCTCACAATTCGATTGAATGCTGGAGGCGCAGATTTGCGCTTGTCAGCTGGCAGAGTTGTTGTTGACACTACAGTAATGCGCGTAAGTATACGCAGTAGGTGCAGTCATTATATGAGATGACACGGCTTACACACACAGACAAATGTACATACATAAGTCGTCGCATTATATTATTGTTTTTGAATCATTGTTGCTGGCGCATTGTCAGGCATGTCGAAATCCATGTTTGCACAACTTTTGAGCATGGATTAAGTTGCCAACTGGCTGCCAATGCCCCCAGTGTAGAGCAGACCAGACCAGATCAGCCCAGCCCAGCCCAGCCCAGCCCTAGGCATAACGCGAGCATATCGATATACTACGAGCATAGTTGTTGTTCGGCGGCTTTACTTTTGTTGCGTCTTGTTTTTTAGCAATTTGCTAAAACTTACGAATGTAAGTCATTCGTACAATGACACTTTGTGCGCTCCCTTTATAGCATTATACGAGTACCCTGCCTGCCCCATGGAGTGTGCGAGAGAGGGGTTGGCTGCGGCGACAAACAAATGCAGATGCAGTTACAGAGACAGAGGCTGGCAATGGAATGAATGCGTTCGCTGCTTCGTTGGCTCGTTCTTGGGTGCGGGGCTTGAAAATAAATTTAAGATCTTGGCATGCTTCGCTGCTGGTTGCTGGTTGCTGGCTGCTGGTTGTGGCAGCCCGAGCTGCAACCAGCCAAGTGGAATGCTTGGCGGCTTGGCGGCTTGGCGACTCGGCTCTCGGTGCCTCTGTCTGGTTGTCAAGTTGCGTAATTTGTTTGCAACTTCTTACATAGCAGCAGGCATTATGCAAGCAATTCTTAGGTAATTTTCCTTCCGAATCGCCGCTTTAGTTGTTTTATTCCCACTTTCCGCACAAATGGCACAACAATGGCGGTGTAATCGGAAATGTAAGGCAATGTGCCTAGTGTGATGCCTAGTTCATTGACATTATAATCCGGATGTCAAACAACAGCAATGACAATATACGAATGCCAGAAAAAAAAAACTGGGCTCGTACTCCCACTGGGGCGGCCAATGCATATATTATATTTACTAAGCGTAATGATGATGAATGCGGACCGGGAAGAATGCAGTTAGTTCTCAATGGTTTTTCCTTTCTTTTTTGTTCTATAGCGTTGCTTTAACAAAACTGTTAGTAATTTTTAAACAGCTGTATAGACATTTGTATGAGTAGTTTGAAGCAGAAAATGGGCATTCATAGTCTTATGAGTCGGACTAGCTACTGATGGCTTAGGAATTATATTTTGGTAGATCAAAACAGACGTAGAGTGTTGATATTCAAGGCAAGCTATTACAATATTATAGCAATACTCTCAGGGGAAAGTATTAGATAGCATGACTTTTTGATTAAGGAATGTCCTAGTATTTAATTGCCCCCACTAGATGTGTATTTGAATCCTGCACATTCTACTATTCTTTAAGCCTAATGGTACTTAATCAAAATGCGCCCATTATGAGCGCTCAGTTATATACAAATTTTAAATAGTATTGTGGAGTGGAGTAGAGGCCTGCATTAGTACTTCGTTACATATTGAATGCACAATTGCGAACTCATGTGAATCATTTTATTAACATGATAAAGCAAAAACACAAAAAGACTAGTGAAAAAACAAACTTGAGTTGGTTATCTATTAAGTGCACATTTTATATGAAAATCGGAAATAATAAGCGGAAGAAAGTTTTTGACGGACCTCCCAAAGAACTCGCATTTACTGAGTACTTCGTTCTTCTTATGAGGGCGACTTAATGTAATGCTCTCTCCCAATACTAAACAGCTTGAATCTTTGATTACACAGGCGAACAGTCGACGGAACTACAAATATAGTTTTCTACTTCGGGATTATACTTTTTATGACGTCGTTTACAGATTCAACGTTTTGTATTTGGTGATTAGTATTAGTGTGACCGTAGTCTAAAATTAAATGGAATCGAATCCTTCAATGCATACCTCTACTATATTTAATGTGGGGTACAAGTATTTCTTGAGATATTAAAGATCTAATTGCTGTTAGTAGGCATACACGCGTGTTCAATGGTGCTTTGAATTTAATAAATAAAGCTGTATGTATAAGTTCTTATTAACTAGAATGCATTCAAATCGATAGTTAAATGAAATAGCAAACAAGCAAATCGAAAGGCAATTTCAAATCTAAACTAAAAATGCTCTCCGCTTTTGAATGACAATCCATTCATGTTAGCTTTAATGCAAATTTAGATGTGGCACAAATCGATTGTTAGTACGAGTAATATAGTATACGAGTAGTATGTTTAAAATCTAAGGTAGTCTTATGTTAAATAATGCATTTCTCGAAATGAATATACCAAATCTGACCTTTTGCGTGGTTGCGTCAGAACCAGTGGGTGTTTGCCGCTGCAACGGTTTCTTGCGTATTAGTTTAATGCGTCTTAAAATGCTTATGCACGGGTATACGAGCATATACTTATACATATGTACGATATAAAGATTTAGGTACGAGTACTACTAATGGCAACTAAATAGACTGCTGCATAGCTTGAAGGGAGGGGGTTCGTATAGAGATTTGGAATTTAGGAGCAGAAATTTGTGTTTGAAGTTCATGAAGATGAAGAAGAACGAGTATGTGATTGGATTGCCACGCAACTTGTGGTTGTCGAGATCTACTTGATATAATTAGATATATTTGATATACTCATGGCAGATATAGTATAGTATTTTTGTAGTAGTGGGTAGTAGAGGTTTGTCTAATTGGATCGGATAAACATTACCACGGTTCTGGTGTACGTGTACAGTAAACAGCTACAGTTCTTGGACTATATATGCACTATATATGTACTCGTATATGAAAATAGGTAGCACAGATGAGTTGAAGAATTCATAAAAAAAAAACGAAATCAAAGAGAAATAGTATACAACTTATATACAAGTACAGCTTGGATAGGATAGGCGGCACAAAGAGTGTAAAGAGCAGTACAACATATATTGATTATATTGACGTTGTGTTCGATATTAATAGATATGTATTTGATTTGCATGGGTGTGGTGGCACATCGAGTTGTTTGGAGCATATTTATTTGATATACATAGTTGGACAATACGAGTATAACAATGAAACGATTAGAAACAAGGAGAACGGCATGAGTGTCTTGATCGCTTTAATGGAACACACTTACTTGGCATTTTTTGGTCGTCGCGCATCAATTGGAAAGTCATCATCAAAATCCAAATTGAAGTCCTCACCCAGATCGTGCGGCACTAGTGGGGTCCGCTGATGTGCAGGACTTGTGTGATAGCCGTCCCCTTGTAGCTGTTGTTGTGGCAGATTGGTTTTTGTATCGGGGCGCAATTGTTGTTGTTTGTAGTTGTAGTTTTGAGAGAAAACCGAAATAGTTGTTGTGGTGTTTTTTTGTTTTCAGTTATAAAATTGGTTATACAACAATAAATTGGAATTTTTACGCACAACAGAAAATTGTATAGACAAATAAGATATTTGCAGACTGTTGATTATTTATATCAATATCGGCGGGGCCAATACTTCCAGCTGATATCATTCACAATCGAACAAAATTGAACTGAATGGACCCACGTAGGGTTATAGCATGTGGATTCATTTACGAGATATAGCAAAGCAGCCCAAATTATACATAGAACAATTTATTTCTTTAGAATAACCAGCAAGTGTTTTATAATTTCAGCATAACAAACATTCAAATTGCTGGATGGGACGCTACATTGAAAAGCTAAACACTGTTGCTTAATCGTGAGGACAAAGTAGGTTTCTAACAATAAGGCGCCCAATGTGGGGCCCAAATTCACGATGGCTTGTTTATTTTTGTACTTCTATTTATTCGAAAAGTGAAAAATGAAAGCAATATGTTGGTGTTTAGGTACAAAAAGCCATTTCGAAAGTGACTTAAAAACATATTCAGAGTCCCACAATGTGAGTTTGTTCCTTGAGTAGGGGCTCGGTTCGAATCATGCCGCAACCTTCAAGACAAAAGCATGATTAAAAATTGTCAAAGCTATCCTAAAATTTAATAATTGTCCAATTTAATAGATCTTTAATCTTTAAAGATTTCCAAAAAAAAAAGTCTATAGTGTCGCAGAAAAAATGGAAGTCCCACAATTATTTACATCTTAGTGAATAATATCATATATACGAGTTTATCATTTATTGAAGTAAATGTAATTAATTAATTAAGTGAAATTAATTAATTAAGTAAAATTCATGCAATATAAACAGCTGTTTTCATTAACAAAATCAAAGTTCAATTCCAATTTATTGCAAAAAAAAACATCATTAGAATAATTTTTTATTTGTAAACGCAAAGTAAAGGGCAAATCGTTACTCGTGCAAGGATTTTGTTTTCTTCTCTTTCTCATAATGGTAAGTACTTTAGGTCGTAGGCAGAATTTTTAAACGATCATCTCAATGTAAAATTATTATGGAAAAATTGGGAAAATAGTTTAATGAGTATAAAAAGTTAGTTACAAAAATTATATAATTAATATCATATGGAAAAGTTTTCAATAGTTGAAAAGCTCAAATTATGAAAAGTGTGTGTTAAGATTATGTTTACGATTGACTTAGACAAATATTCAAAATAATTATGAATTTAATTAATTGTAGGTATTACAATATTATTAAAAAATGTTTGAAATGCAATTTTAAAAGCCAACACTTTTTGTTCATTATTGAATAAAACCAACTCATGGACAGGCCTGTTTCGAAATCCGTTTATTTGAAATCGAATACATAGCTTTGCAAAGGCTGTGAAAACTGAATGGATTTCAATTGAGTTTCAGCAAAAATATTTGAATAATAAATGTAGAATGCTTGAAATGGCTGACTCTAGAACAAGTCTGACATAAACAAAATTATGCGAATTGCATTAAAAATGTCTTATTGTAATAAAAATAGTTGAATTCATTCATTTGCTTGAAGAGTGATTTTGTTTTCTTAAACGTTTCGAAATATGAAAGGCTCTGATCAGTTTGACGTTGTCTTATTCATTAAGGAACTTCAATCATGGTGATTGACTTGTTTTTGTGAGATTAGATTTCTTGTATACTTGTATGTACGAGTTGTTTGTACAAATGTATATATGTACGAGTATGTATGCATTGTGTGTATGGAGAAGGTGTACATATTTATAAATGTATGTAGGAAATGCATATGGTTGTAATAATCCTTGTAACGAGTACGGCGAACAGCCCCTACCTTGACCACAGTGCCGACCTGATTCGATTCGGATGCCGACTGGCGATTGTCCAGTAAGTTAGCGCGCTCCATTTGTTCCAGCTGAAGTGTTTCTCGGGGTTGATCGAGCAGACGTTCTCGCATTTCATGCAGATAGGGACAGCGCTGCATTCCTCCAGACACACCTTTTCACCGCTCACCGACTCTATTTTGCCTTCAGTTCGATTTTATTGTTTTTTTTCTCTATTTGTTTTTAGTTTCTAGTTTCTATTCTAGATTTCTGTTCGTACACAATATAAGTATGGCGATATTATTGTATGTACTATAGTATGTAAAAATATATAGAAGCTAGCTAGCTAGAAGAGCGTACAAAATTATGTTGATATATAGGTTTCAAAGTTTCAATCTAGTCGCGGGCTAGCACATCTTTACTACTCAGAAGCCCCTGTAATACTATCTATAGTGATACATATACCATTCTTTAGCTCTTTTATATAAAATGTTTGCAATATAGTTTTGTTTGCTTAGGCGTGTCTATATAAGATTCCTTTATTATTATTATTATTTATTGTTGTATTCAAATGTTATATGTTGTTCCGAAAAATCAGTCATATGGTTTGCAGCAGCAGTTTACTTTAAGACTTTTCAGTTATTGAATTAAATCAATCAAATTGGTCGTTCTGTGGCAGAGAAAAGAGAAGAATAAACGAATGTTAGTTGGTAGCGTTGCAAAGAAATATCTTCATAGATGAACAATAAAAATATATAGAAAAGAAAATAGTATTTATTTCAAAAATTGATATTCATGAAATTTTAAACAAATAGTATAAGGAAATATTTTCAAAATTTTAAATTACTTGTAGTTTTGATTCAACTACAAGGTTTTTTAAATATCAACCATCTAGATTTTTTTTGACTCCCAATGTGGAAGAAACGCTGCGGATTCTCACTAATCTGCAGTCTGTGCCAAAAGGTTATAAGCATTTCCCCACTGAACACTATGATGCGAAAAATAAAACTAAATCTTATTGATAAAGAATGTGAGAATAAAAGATCTTTTTCATTACTCATACTTTTACTCTCTATTTTCATTTTAGTTCGTATGTCGCTTTATTCGCTTGAGGGTGATTGTTAAATATTTGTTGACCCCGATCTAGTATTGTATTAAAGTATGTTTATAATGTTCAGGAATAGAATCCAAAAGCAAATAAAGCTCGATTCTCATGACCTAAACTCATTTGATAATCCAAGTATTTCTGCTCAGACGTTTTTTAACAAACTTTTATATATACCTACAACATATAGAGTATACCAAAAATAGACCCCACACAGTCCTTATAACATATATACTATAAATAAATTCGATATTTTATGATTCCAAGTGATTATCAGAACATACTTTTTTCGGCATTTTCCGATTCGGTATGCGAAAGAAGCACAAAAATAAATGTGCCCTTGAGGAAAATAAAATACTAAGACGACTGAAGAACAAGTGGAAATTCCATAACATTTTATGCGCTTCTGGGGCTCGTTTCCACCATGTGTGCGTGTCAAAAGCAACAATAATAACAACTACACATGCCTCTGGTCATCATGGCTGACTGGAAAAGCACTGTGGTTATGCTTTGGCCATAACTTTTCGAGCATATTACACAAATAAATCAACATCGGATTTAAGTTGAATGCTTTATATGTGTTCCGATTTGGAAAGAGAGAGAGAGAGAGAGAGAGAGGAGTCAGGCTATATTTGCAACAAAGCTATGAGCACATAACAAGAGCTGTTGTGGATTGACATGAACTTCAATGGTCATGTCTAGGCATTCATCTGATTGCATATTCAGATTAACATCCGTACCCATGTCAAGGCGAAGAGGGCCAGAGCCTCGATGCCATGCTCGATGTCGGCTGTTCGAGATCATCGCCGTCTTTGCTTGCGTATTATTAGAAAGATTTGTTATTTTTATTTTGATTATGTTTCGTGCAGCTAGCCACGCTTTTATGTTGGCTGCGAGCCAAAACAAATTGCAACTGGAAATTTGGCGAGTACGCATCGATCATTTTTTGGCGGCTGCGTCTCGCAGAATTGAGTTCGGACCCGGGCTCGGGAACGGGAACGGAAACAGGCAGAAATGTGCGAATTCGCGCGGCACACATCGCACTTGCTGTTTGTTGTTGTTCGGATTTAAGTAAAACAAGCACGCATAGAGGTCGTGTGCCAATTAGCTCACTGGCCTAATGTAGCTCCTTTATTTTCTGGCCAATCAAACACTATAGGCAACAAATTCGTTATTTTTCTATAGGCTGCTATCTAGACAAAGTTTTCATGTCATTTCAGATTTGACAATTTACAGCAGATGCGATATGTGCCAATATTGTGTATATAGGTGTACATATATTATAAAAATATCTAAATCAATTATCTACACATTTTCATCTGAAACTCTGCAAGTCTATAAATGGAAGAAGTGCGCTTCGTACCATGCTATGCCAATTATAATCCTGAAATGTCTTCACAATTAAGCTAATTTTTTTTTTTTTTAGATTGGTGAGGGGACCTTTACATCAATGATTGTTGCCTAAAATAAATTTGGTTTGAAAAGAATGGCTAGAAAACCGCTAGAAAATGGCTTAAAAACCCACTATGAATAGCTAGAAAATTGCAAGAAAAACAATAATATGTTGTTAGAGAAAACGGTAGAAAATCCGCTAAACATCCGTCAGGAAATGTCTAGAAAACCGACTAAAAGTAGATTGAAAACCCACTAAGAGACGGTTGAAAGCCCACTACAAATCATACAAATCACACAAATAGACGTTGTGGAAATACCCTCATTGAGATGAGATATCAATGAAACAGCATCCCTAATACATACGGTTACATAAAGCAATTAATATCCCAGCATTATAAGATTTAATATTTTGAAAATAAAGTGAAACTAAACGTAATCCATTTTATCCTTATAAAATTCGAATTCAATTGGAAGAAATAATTAATAATAATATTATTGACAAAACTAATATAACAAAACGATTAATATTGTCTAGTACGGACGAGGGTTCATAAATTTTTTGGGTGCTCGAGACTTTTAAATCGAATGCAATAAGTGAGAGGCATGTACTAAGACATTGTTTCCACTTTGTTGGCAGAATCGCTTTTATGGTTGTGGTTTCATGGCCATTCATGGCCAAGCAACGCCTAATTCTGCCCCAATCGAGAATTGTCGCATGTTCTTGTTTTGTTGTTGGCGACTGCAACCACACTTGAAACACCAACACAGGCCCGCAAATCGAAAGGTTGCTTAATGCCATTAACATTTGATGGCTAACAACTGCACTGAGACTTGAGCTATAAAGACGCTGACGCCGATGCCAACGCCAACGTCAACGCCGGCGTCGCGGCTAGCGCTGCTGCTGTTGTGACATGAGGTGATGTGGGAGGGCGGGAAGGTAATTGTTGTGGCCAAAAAGTGGGGGAAAAAAAGAAAAAGAGACGAGCTTAAAATTAACGCAAAACTAGCGCACATTTGTTAATTGCAAATTTCTATTCTTGTCTTTCTGCTTTTGGATCGCACTGTGCTAAACTAGCCTCCTTGAGCCAATTACTACACAATGCGAGTTTCCTATGGCAGGGGGCAAGGGGAGAAGACATCTGACAGCTGTCAGACACAAGTTCTCACTCTCACTGTGATGACCTGCTTTGGGGCACATTGTGTGCGGACTGCTTCTCCAAGTCAAAGTCACTTGTTGCTATTGGCAACCACCTGTCATGTGGCAAGTTGCTTGCCGATTAGCAGGCTAATTTGTGGGTACAGGTATTACGAAAAAACAACCCCCAAGATGTTGACTTGCAAAGCAAGGGCAAAGGGTTCGCTCTCCTCCATCACCAACTATGGCTCGCCTAATCCCTCGATTGTGTTCAATTCCTCAACCCTGAGCAGTTCTTAATAAAGTCATGTGCAATTATAAAAAGGTATTTGGATTGGCCAGAGCTTAAGTAAGCAATTTCATAAAATGTTCACGAAAAGATCTTTATTGAAGAAACTATCTGCCAGCCCTCTATTTTTATACTCTGTACATAAAATGTACAAGAGTATATTAGGTTTGCGGGAGCTGAAAATGTAACAGGCAGAAGGAGGCGTGGCGGACACTCATAATTGTTGTCGGTATTTTATTAATTAATTAAAAAACACCAAATCATAAAACAAGAGCGAAAAAAGAGCAGCAAACCGGTTTCGGCAAAAAATGTACCTAATCAAATAGATAATGTGATATCAGCGGAAGCTCCCGATACAGATCTAGATCCAGTCTTGCATAAGGTTGTGTCCAAGAGCATGATTCATGGGCCGTGTAGAGCATTTATTTATTTTATTTATGTCAAGTAAAAATTGGCTGTCGACAAATAAAAATTATAAAAAAATCCTATAAACTAGGATAGCCTAAGGAGAAATCTAATCAAATTACAAAAGTATCTATGCCCAGTCTTACAGCTAGGTGTGGACAGAGGCGTCAATAGATCTACCAATATAAAAAGAAAAACCTTAACAGAGAGAAGAAGCATAGAACGAATTATTGTGGATACAGATTGATGAAATTTTATATTCTAAAAAGTTCACAAAGTAGTGCTCTCACAATTGGATAAAAACTCCCCATGTTGTCTCAGGAGCATTCAAGCAAGAGTCTCTCTAGTATACTTAACAAATTTCGATCGATCTGACAATATGAAACGGAAGTCGAAAATGGCTTTTTCAAGCTTCTGGAATTCTTTTGAGCAAAAACTCTCTATGGGCACGATACCTAAATAGGATGATGGAAACAAACATATACTAGTTCGTGTAGGATAAACATGAAATGACAAAGAAATTGAAAAAAAGTAAGTCAAATAATCGCAAGCAGACAAACTGTAAACAAAATTGAGCCGCATGCGTGGGGAAAACTTTCATAAATATCGTAATTGTGTATGATTTTTGTTCGGGTGTCTGATGACAGATTACAAACAAGCGGGGCAAACACCCTCGCAAGCTTGCAGATCGGCGCCATAGATACATAATTGTACAAATACTTTCATACATATATGTACATCTGTAGTATATGTATGTTAATGTATAAAAAGTTTCATTTCCATGCGGCTCTGATCTGAATCTAAAGAGACGGCGCCCACATTGAGAACCGGATATGCAATTGTGTAAAAGCGAATACGAATGTGCATGAGAACGATGAGCAGATGGACACATTTTGCTGCTGTCGGCCACACAAAATTCAACAACAACAACTATAACAACAACAATATTCGTAATGTTGAATGCATCGTGTAGACATCACTTGGTCGTCTGCCTCGAAAATAGGGTGACCTTATAAACAAAAGCAATATCCAATACAAACCCAAAAGCAAACGCTGCCGGGCCATCCAATGTTTATGCTTGCTTTCGATGGGTTGGGCCGTGCAGCTTTGCATTTGCATCGCTGGTGATGGTGGGTG